CCTGCCCCTTGGGAGCCTGCTTCTCCCTCTGCCTTTCTCGCTCTGTCTCTCATGAATAAAAAAAATATATATATATATATATATATATATATATAAATTTGATTGTGCTCATTGCAGCATTATTTACAATAGCCAAGATATGGAAACAACCTAAGGGTCCACACTGGATGAATAGATAAAGATGATGTGTTTTATATACACAATGGAATATTATTCATTCATAAAAAAGAGTGAAATCTTGCCATTTTCAACAACACAGATGGACTGTGAGGGCATTATGCTAAGTGAAATAAGTTTTACAGGGAAAGACAAATACTGTATGATCTCACTTACATGTAGAATAAAAAAAACAAACAAACAAAAAAACCAAGCTCATGAATAACAGAGAACAAATAGGTGGTTGCCAGAAGCAGGGGGTAGGGGTGGGCAAAATGGGGGAAGAGGGTCAAAAGGTACGAACTTCCAGTTATAAAATATATAAGTCCTGGGTATGTGACGTACAGCATGGTGAGTAGAGTTAACACTATTGTATTGTGTATTTGAAAGTTGCTAAGAGAGTAAAAATTAAACGTTCTCATCACAAGAAAAGAATGTTCTTGTAACTATGTGTGGTGACAGGTGTTAATTAGACTTATTGTGGTGATCATGTTGCAGTGTATATAAATATTGCATCATTATGTGGTACACCTGAAACTAATATAATGTTTGTCAATTATACCTCAATAAACATTTTTTTTAAATTAGACATGTGACATCAGCTTGCAGTTTATTGGGAGACAAAAGTATGTTGAACCATTTTAGTATCAATCATTGTGACTTGGATTAAAGTTAGGGACTGAGTGGCCTTTTATTTTGACTATTTGATAATGAGCATCTTCAGAGCATATGAGAGCCCAAGCGTCTAGTACTCTACTTCCTGGGCCACCAGGAATAACCAAGAAATGTTAGCTTAAATTAATGTACCGCTATTAACATGCTTGGAAGAACTAATTTGATAAGATTTTATCCACCGATTCTCCCTACTTTACAGGAAGTCTTTCCGCTCTCCTTCGTTCCAAATGGGGCCCATTGAAGGACAATGAGCAAACAATTGGCTTTTATACAAAGCAGATACTTGAAGGATTAAAATACCTCCATGACAATCAGATAGTCCACCGGGATATAAAGGTAGGATGCACTAGGATTCATGTTTGCAAGTTCCTTGGTAGGTAACTGTTTTCTTTGCAAAAGTCATACTGTGTTATGGGGATTAATTTAGAATCGTGAATAAATAAAGCTTAGAGATAGCAGAAATATAAGCCTCCTCTGCTCGGAGTCAGTTATTGATATTCATGCCTTATCTCTTCTCCTCAACGAGTAAACCTCTCAACCATGTTCAGCCAACAAAGATTGAGCTTCCACTGCACACCTGACACTGTTTTAGGTGCTCTGCGGAGAAGGCACCGCAGGACAAAATTGGACAGGATAGGGTCCCTGCTCCTGAGGCGTTCACAGGCTGCTCAATATTTGTATCCTTGCCCAGGGTAGCTACTCAGTAAATATCTAGTACATCAATGGTTGAATGACTAGGAGGGAGAAAAAAAAAAAAGATTCCCTCTTCTGACGAGTATCACATACTCGCTGTTAGAACTAAAATTAAATAACCTATTTGATTCCCTTTAAAAAGAGAAAATTCTGAACTAGCAAATTTCTGACAAAGGTGGGACTATGGAAAGGAGGTTACTATTACTATCCCCAAATCAACCCAGATCTCGTTGATTTGCCATATCCCTAAATATTCCAGGAAAAGAAGCACAACAGCAGAAAATAAAGTAAAATGACTAGGAAGTCATGAATATCTTAGTTATCACACACAGATAGCCCCTACAGTTTGCAAACCACAGCAAGCTCTAACCAGGCACCTGTTACGACCTTGTGTGAGTAGCAGATTGTGAAGTGATAATATGTAAACAAAAATGGTGTCAAGAATTCACTCTCGAGGTTAACTATTAATGAAGAGCACAGATTGAGTCCTTGTTTGCTCTAAGGACACCTTTTCCTATTGGACTTACGAGCCAACCCACAAACAGTAATGGAAGAAAGAGCATTTTTGATTCAAGTCTTTTGTTCTCTAGGGCGACAACGTGTTGATTAATACCTATAGTGGTGTTCTCAAGATCTCGGACTTCGGAACATCAAAGAGGCTCGCTGGCATAAACCCATGTACTGAAACTTTTACTGGTATGTTTTTGCAGTGATGATACAGATCTTATGTAATTAAAGAAATAATTGCTGCGTTAGAGCCTAATGTGAGAGATAAAGTCAGTCTGGGTTCTCACAGACATCAATGTGAGTATATTTTGAGGCTCATTGAAAAATGTTGTGTAGAATTTGATCTGGCTCTTTTCTCATCTTGTATTCTATGATTTGCTCAGTCTCCTGCTTAATGCCACTGAAATTTTTTTTTTTAACTCTCAATTTGTTGTTTTCCCCTTCATGTCATTACTTCTCTCCTGGTTGGCTATAACCACTACAAACCTGACAAGATTTTTTTTTTTTTTAACATTTTTTTAGCCCAACATCTCTGTGATTCTTACTCATACCTTAATCACTTCCCATTTGAACTATGAGTTCCTAATCTGTTTACTCCCTGTGGCCTATTTCCTACTCACAATATAAATAACCCGTAGAATTTCAATTCAGAAAGAGGAAGTGACTCACCAACTCAGAAATGGGGTGGGGAGAGAGCTTGCCTGAGAAATTAGGCAATCCAGCCACCAAGCTACCCCTGAGCAAAGTCCTGGGGGAGTGGAGACAAAGTGATTGCCAAAAAAAGAGGAAACCAAGGCTCAGAGAGATGAATGACTGCCCCACAGTTACAGGAGGGCATCTGGAACTTTGACTCTGGTCTCCACTAGAAATTCTTACCACTCAACTCTGCTGATTCTCATGAAGTGCTAAGTCCTTGTTATTATCATCAGAGAAAGAGTAATTTAAAGGTAATGAATAATCTGTAGTCTAAAATAAAGCAAAATGGCCAGATATCCCCCCTTTCTGAATTCTGTGAGGTAGGTGGTGGTACCTCAGTTTTGCAGATGAGGAGATAGAAGAGAGATCACAGCTAGAGGTCACAACAGCTTGTAAATGATAGAACTTGGATTTTTAATCTACCCTTTGCTCTTTGCTTTGACCTTCTTACTCTAGTCCATCTTCCTCTCCACCTTGCTGATGTATCTGTTCTGGTAGCCTGGAAGGGGAAAAGAAGAGAGAGAAATTCTGTAAATCTTCTCCTCAGAACATTCAGTCAATAACACCTCTGACCCAGTTCCTACACTCACAGCAATAGGTCTTTCAGGGCACAGCATTAAACACATTTAAATTGTATTTTTTTGAACAAAATTAATTCTAACCTACTAGTAACTTTAAATGTCTTTCCATTTCTTTCCTCATACTCTCTCAATTTGGCAAGAGACATTTTAGATGCTGCCAAGACTCGGTAACTTCTGATGGGAGAATCCCTACTTTCAGACATTTTATTTGGGGCAAGATGTTAATTTAATGTCTTCTGCTAATCTTAAAGACATGGTTTTTTTTTTTAATCCCCAAAGGAGTTGTAGTAAAGCAGTCCTCCCAGAGCCCTTTGTTTGCATTTCTCACACTGGCCTCACCTGAGTGACCCATGTCACTGATGTTCTGGTTGGTCTCCAGGGCTGATCAAGAGGACTTGGAGGGGCACACCTTGATCCGCTCATGGCCATAGGCCTCACAGGTGCTCAGTCAACTTCTGATGAACTGCCTGGAAAGACATTGATCTGTTTGGTGATTTGGTGAGAGGGAGGGCAGCATCACCCGCCATTTATAGAGTGCTTACTATCTACCTGACTGTGTTAAGTGCTTTACATATTTCACTGAAATTCATATATCAGCTCTAATTCTTTGGAATCAGTATCCCAATTTACAATGCAAAATTAAGGTTCAAAGAGGTTGAATAACTTGCCCGAGGTCATAGTGCTAGTAAGTAATAGAGCTACGATTCAAACTAGACCTAACATGCCAAATGGAACTAATTATCTTCTCCCCAAACCTGTTCCACCCACACTCTTCTCCCTCTCAGTTGATGGCCACCCAAAACTTAGAGGGATCCTTGGTGCCTCTCTTTTCTCACACCCCAACCCAATCCACAAGGAAGCCTACCGACTCTACCTTCAGAAGGTGTCCAAAATTGGACCACTCCTCACTGCCTCCACTTCTGCCACCCTCCGCTCTCAACTACATCACCTCCAAAGCCTGTTCTCCTTGCTTGGGCTCTTGCCTCCTACTCTCTACTCTTAACACTGCAGCCAGAGTGATCCTTTTAAAACATAAATCAAGCCCTGTTACTCAGAGACTTCAGTGGCTTTCTGTTTCTTTCAGAGCAAACAAATGCCGAAGTCCTAATATGGTGGACAAGGCTCTGACCTGATACGGAGTCCATTACCTTTTAGACCTCATTTCCTGTTCTTACCCGTCACTCCCTATGTGCCAGAAACACTGGCCGTCCTGCATTTCCTTCATTGTACCATGCCACAAGGCCTTTGCACATGCTCTTCCTTTTGCTAATAACACTATTCTCCCAGCTATCTATGTGGCTAAATCCCTCTCCTTTCAAGTTTTATCTTAGATGTCATCTCAGTGAGCCTACCATGACTGTCCTATTGACGGGGCAGACCTCCCTGGGCACTCTTGATCCCACTTCCCTACCTTTGTGTGTGTGTGTGTGTGTGTGTCATTGACACATCACTTTCTAACATACTATATAATTTACTGATTTATTATGCTATACTTTAATGTCTGTTTCCCATTGCAAAAAATGCAGGCTCCATGAGCCCAGGATTTCTGTTTACTCCACTGCTATATTCTAAGTGTCTGGCCCACAGTAGGCACTTGATATAAATCTGCTGAATAAATGAGTGGATTAAGTGGGATGTCAAAGTTCACACTTTTAGCCACTAAGTTGTAGTGGTTTCATGGGTGATTGCAATTCTAAAGATTATTTTAAAGTAATTTTTTAAAACTTTGGAATGAAGCTATATAAGGTATGGATTTTAGAGTCAATACTCTTGTTTTCCTTAGGCTAATGTACAGATTGGCCTGTGTCTTCATTATCTAGCTCTGTAAATCTCTTTTTTTTTTTTTAAAGATTTTATTTATTTATTTGAGAGAGAGAGAATGAGAGAGAGCACATGAG